TAGCTGCGGACATGTGAGCTCGTCATTGACATCGCCTGTAGCCGTTCTCAACCTCATGTGCACCTCTTACGCATAAGTTTATGTAGGCAGTGTTTTGCGGTAGACGTGGAATGAATGCCACACCTATAGCCAATGTCATATTTATACTACTCTGAAACGAAGCTTCATGTGAATACCCAGTCTCGCCGATAATTGGTGTATATTTTCTCTCAAAGATCTGCGCTGCCAAATGCAGCATCACGTCCTTCATTATGCAGCATTCAGTAATCGTGTACTGGCGCGAAGCTTAGTCGGTTCGTATGCTACACGGGGCATCCACGGACTCAACAAGTAACACCACATACTGAGCAATGAAAGCCCGGTCCCCACAGAAGCAAGGAATGATTTGCGCGATTGCCCATGCGATAAGTCCAGACATGTGTCTCTGTATCTACGAGTAAGTGGATCTAAATGCACTACCACGCGGACATCACGTCTGCGTTTCCCAAAAAAGTCCTCGGTCACTCTACTTAGTATGACTGTTGAAAACTACAGGATAACAGCCGTGTTACCCACAATGGTGAATGAAGAATTTTCCGAGAGCGGCTGAGTCACGTCTGTCCCGACAGGCCATCGCGCTCTCTTTGACGCAGTAATACGGACGTCGCGCTGCCGTCCTCGAATGACTGATCAACTTTCGCCTTTATCGACCCATGTCCATGACCCTCATCCATGTCCCGTCTTCTGTTGTACATATTTCTATCTCATTCTGTCACATATGTCGGGTGTTCAATGTTTCACTTTTCGCAGCGGAAGTTTGTTTTTTCAGGCCTTTCCATCACTTAGACGGCCTCCGAAATGTCGTTTTTCGGTAAAATGAAAAACTTGTTTCGGGGTCCTGCCATGGAAGAATCCAAACGACCTTTACCATCTATTATTGAGGTATATTTGCCTACTTGTGGACCATAGGCCCAGCATAAAAACCGTAGAAATAATTACTCTTAAATAGTGTATAAGCTGTGGTCGAGAATCTTTCCGCTTTCCTAGGCGCTCACTTTGCGATGTAACGTAATCTTAGCCTGCGAATCGCTTTCTGTCATGTAACATAAACGGATTGAAAGAAACGAAGTGAAGTAAGCGCTTATAGGCAGCAACTACCCTTTCTTATCGATCACATTATATGGCCGACTGTCGTGCAAATGTTTAGGTAAATGTAAATCCAAAGGATTACTGGGAAATTGTTGGAGAGCTCGGCGATGGTGCTTTTGGAAAAGTTGAAAAGGCTGTCTCAAAAACAGACAGGAATTTGTATGCGGCTGCTAAAGTAAGTTTTATGATGTGTTCGCTTTGAATCATACCTTCAGTAATTTGATTAGTGCATCATATAGTATCTCATTTTTCTTTCCGCATTTCATTTATCAGTTGCTGTATAAATTGAATGCTCGGCTTGTTCCACAGGCAGAGGTATCTCATTCATTTTCAGGCCATTGAAGTTCAGGAGGGAGAGCAATTGGAGGACTTCCTCGTTGAGATAGACATATTGACATCATGTATCCATGTGAACATTGTCAAACTGTATGCTTGCTATTTCTATGAAAACAAGCTTCACGTGCGTTTCAACTTTTTTCTTCCTGCAGCCTAGTTTTTCTTGTATAAAGTTTGAGGTTTGCACATACGCTTTGTTTGTTTCGAATATTTGCATGTTTAGATGATGCTAGAGTTCTGCGGAGGCGGCGCTGTTGATGCAATCATGATAGAGTTAGAAAAGCCACTTACAGAAAAGCAGATTGCTTATATTGCGAGGTAAGTTTTCCGTAATCCCGATACCTTGTTCAAAATCTTTTTCTTACTCAAGTTACTCGAACTGCTTACATAGAAGTTTGATTAGGTATACATGCGAAGCAGTAGCTTTTCTACATGATTGCAACGTCATTCATCGCGATCTCAAGGCCGGCAACATTCTTCTTACCAGTGATGGAATAGTGAAGCTAGGTTTGTAAAAATCGTAGTGAACTCTAACTTTACAATTACCTTTCAGCTGATTTTGGAGTTTCCGCAAAGCTCAAAGATAGAAATGAGAGGAGGGACACTTTCATCGGCACACCATATTGGTAGGAATTGATATACTAGGTTTTTTTAGGCCGTTAGTCATATAATCTCATAGTATCAGCCTACCGTTCTAATCCATTTTTTGTTTCGATTTACCATAATTTTTTTGAATTATAACCGTAATCGTTACTTGCATTTGATATCATTCAGGATGGCTCCAGAAGTTATGATGTGTGAAACGTTTAAAGACCAGCCTTATGATACCCGCTCTGACATTTGGTCTTTTGGCATCACTCTCATCGAAATGGCGCAGATGGAGCCTCCTCACTCCAATGTACGTTGCCGCTTGCATCTGAACAGTTCTATCTTCAAGCCTTGAATGTAATGCTAAGTGTAGCTCCAAATTCAATGAGGAAGTAACGACGCAAAGTTTTGCATAAATGTTATTTTCTCTTCGAATTAATTGAATTATTTGAGAAGCAGCTAAGCTGCGATGGCCGCCTCTGACTAGTTTTTGCTATATCATTCCCTTATTCATTACTTTTAAGGTGTCTCCCATGCGTGTGCTGATAAAGGTACAGAAGTCAGCTCCTCCTACTCTTGAGAATCCTTCGAGCTGGTCCATATTTTTTGTTGATTTCCTTTCTCACTGCTTGGTAAAGGATCCTCTAGAAAGGCGAACGGCCAAGCAACTCCTTTCAGTGAGTCACATAGTGATGATTCTCATTGCTTAATGCATTTACATCTTAGCATCCTTTTATCGTGAATGCCACTGATCGTCACCCGGTCTTGGCTTTGTTAGCTGAGGTGAATGCTGAGATTCAAGAGGAAGTTGTCATTGATGATGATCGTGCAAGCTGTGATGAGAGTTGCGCCGATTCCGAAGATCAAGGTGAGCACTTAGGATAGCGATTTCCATTTAACCATTGGATTGATTTTTAAGGCAATTTTAACTGTGTTGTAAACTCCGTGTTCATGCTTTATCTCTGAGTGTAAGCTTGAGTATTTCGCTCTCCCTTATGTTTTGTTATCTTCCTATGATGACGACCAATGTTCTGTACTGTGTCGCCATATCATGCCGAACTATAATCTGGGCAGATTCTTCAGATAATACGAGATCTGTGGTCGTCTCTGAAGACTCGGTGTGGGCTCCTGTTGCTCCGATTCCTCAACCGAAAGACAGCGTTCAGCAATCAGGGGATTTGGTGCAGAAGAAGCGAGCCGCTCCACCTCCGCCTGATGAATCCGTCGTAAAACCTGCAGTAGGTTTTGAGGAAATTATTAGGAAGTTGTTGGGAAAAGTAACGTGGAGTGATTACAATTTCATATAT